GGTCCTGGGATTTCGGCGTTGTGTTTGATCCTCCAGGTTATGGAAATCTCTAGTATGTTGCCTGCCCAACTGGGTGCCACTGTTTTGGCGTTGCTCGGCAAACCGACGGGAGGTTTCAGGCCCATCGACATTTTCATGAGCCTGCATCGCTTGCGGGGGAGAGCGAGAAGGGGGTTGGCGGAAAAGTAGGAAGGAGAGCATGCTCGGCCCTACTTTGCCGCTGGTAAGTTTCAAGGGGCTGCTGACGTTGTGTGGCGCCAAAGTGTCAAGAGTGACAGTTGAGTCTCCAGGAAGGAGCATGCTGCCACTCTCCTCTGGGACATGTATAAATACTATGAGTTGATCGACCTTGATCGATTGCTGGCGCAGTGCTTAAGGTTGAACTTCCCCGTCGCCATGGCCAGATTGGCGGTCAGGGCCTATCGGGCCCCTGGTTCCCTTTCCCTCGGAGGGTGTTTGGACGGTCCTTGGTTTGTCTCCTCGGGGATTGTGGCGGGATGTTCCCTCGCCACTACCCTCATCCGGGTGAACAGCATTGAAGCCCTGGATAGGATCGTTCTCCGCCCTTGCTGCGACTTGGCCCTGTACATTGATGATGCGGGGTGATCGGCTGTTGGTGCCCTCTGTGAGGTGGTCGGTGCTATTGTGGAGGGAGCCCCGCAGCTTCATGAGGCCATCGTCGAAGGTATAGGGGGGAAGGTTGCGCAGGACAAATCTAGCCTTGTCTGTTCTTCGGCGGCCGTGGGCCGAGCCATTCAGGCTGCTCTTGGAGCTAAGTTCACGGGTCCCATTGCGGACAGTTCTGTCAACTTGGGCATTGATGACACGGGGGGGAAGAGCTTCAGGATTAAGGGGAGGGGAGTGAAACTCAAGTCCCGACTTCGGCTCTTTAAGAAGCGCGCCCGCCGCGTTGGCAAACTTCGATCCGCCCTAGGATCTCGACGCACTCTGAGGGTCTTCACGGCAGGACCTCTCCCAGGTGTGCTCTACGGCAGCGAGGTGCGCGGGGTCACGGGCCACGAGCTCCTCCACCTGCGCCGCTCGGCGGCGAGCACCGTCACACCCTCAGCAGGCCAACGCCCCCTGACGGTCTTGTCTCATCTTGAAGGGGGGCCCGCTTGGATCGGTTCTGTTGCCCCAATTTTGCGATGGCACAAGGAAGTTTGGTGCGCCCAAGTTCGGGCCTTTAAAGGCTCTTAGTTTCAGGGAGCTGAGGCTGGCTTGGGAAGGTGTTTTTCTTAAAGAATCTTGCTCATGGCGTGCTGTTGGAGGCCCCGTCGCCGCCATGCGCAAGTCCCTGGAGAGGATCTCCTGGGCGATGAGGGACTTCGCCACCTTTGTTGCGGACCAAGGGGCGATCCTCTCCCTGACCCTCATCTCTCCCCAGCTCATGCGCCTCCACCTTCGGGCTGCTGTTTTTCGAGGATTGGAGTGGGATGCTGGGGCTAAGTGGGATGTTCCTCATCGTCTGTGCTTCGACGTGGTTAAACATTGTCTGCGTAGCAAAAGGTTCTCGGCCTTCGAGAAGGGCTGCATCAGGGCTGCTGCCACTAACGCTGCGTGGACTCGTCAAAAAGCCAAAGACCTCGGGTACGATGTCAGCGCTATGTGCGACAAGTGTGGAACCGCCCCCGACACCCTCCACCACCGCCTGTGGGTCTGCAGGTGCCCAGACGTCCAGGAGCTTCGGGGGGGCCTCGTGGAGCCAGAAGTCATCCAGAGAGCCTGACAGTGTGCGTTCGCGTTTCGGTTCTTTTGCGCACCCTGGGGCCCTGGGGGCTATTTTCCCAAGCCCTCGGGGGAGCCCTCTGGCGCATTCTTTGCTCCTGAAGGGCTCCCCCAGGACCCCCAGAGTTTTGATTTCAGCGGGCGCGTTTTCACTGACGGGAGCGCCTCAAAGCATGTGGTTCGTGAGCTTTCACGTGCTGGATGGTGCTTCGCAGTTGTTGACCAGTCGGGCGACTTGCGGGCCATGATGTGCGGCCCCGTGCCGCCGTCGCACCCGCAGACAGCTCCGGCAGGAGAATTCGCCGCCTTCTGCCAAGCAGTCCTTTTCACTAATGTTCCGTCGGAGTTTTGCACTGGCGCGCAGCTGGTCAAGGATCACTTTTCTTTGCAACTTGCAACCCAAAAATCAGCTGTCGCCAAAACGTTGCTACAATGGTTTCTCGTTGTCTCTGTTGCATGAAATGTGGAAGGTGAACGCCCTCCACAAAGTTAAAGCGCATCCGTCTCTCGATGAATGGACCTCCGAATTCGATAAGATGTGCCGCTTTGGGAATCATTATGCAGATGTCGGTGCTAAAAAAAGCTTCTGGCGGTGAAGGATACCTAGGTCACCCGCAGCCTTCTGCGGAGGACCGAGATAGGTTGGATCCCGACATCAAATTGTCTCGTGCTGTGTGTCAGCTAGCGGCGAAAGTGCTTCCTAGCTGGCCGCGCCTCGACCTCAGTGAAGCTTCTTGGACTAAGCCGACGGTCTCATTTGCTGTGAATTCGACGTCTACTAGGTGCCAGTGGACGATTATTCAGATTGTGCAGTTGGCTTCCTCCCCAGGGTTTTGGAAATGCACGGCCTGTGGCAGAGTCAGTCGATCTCCCACCGACGGCCCGCCCCCGTGTGCTCCTCTGTGTCAGCCGATCTCGGGGCTCGAAGCTGGTGCGTTTGGAAGAAGGGGCCACTCTTGCCTTACGTTGTCGTGCTCTGATCAGGCCTCGTTGGTTGTGTGCACGAAGTGCTTCTGCTACTCGTCTCATGGCAGAGTTGCTGGACTGGGTGGGAGGTGCGTGGGACCGACCAGGTCTACTTTTTACAATAATTGGGGTCTCATCCGCAGAGGACGGCACCCCAAGCGCCCAGAGATCACAGTGGAGCGTGGCCCCTGGGGAAGGCATTCTTTTGGTTTTGTCCCAGACGCGGAGGAGGAGGTCCCCGCCCCGTCGTCTGAGCCTCCCCCCACGTCGGCCCCGGAGGAGGAGGAAGCGCGAGAGAGACGCCGTGCTGCCATCGCACGACGTCTCCTGGCTGCGGCGAGTGGTCCACCGAGGGACCCGCCGTCTCTGTCTCAGGCCACTGGCCACGTGTCGCAGGAGGCCTCGCCCACTCTTCAGGAGTTGAAGGCGGAGGCCTTTTTCGTCTCGAAGCTGCCGCATCGGGATGAGGGCGACTCCAGTTCTGACTAACGCCTGGGGGAAACCTCCAGCCAGCTGGAAATGTCCATGTGGCTTTCCGCCTTTCCTCTCTTTGCAGGTGTTAGAATTTTGCTGGCTCTGGCCAGCCTGCCTGCCCTAATTGTCTGGGCGGGCTCTCACCTTGGATGTTGATGTCAAAAAATCCTCCTCCTCCTCCTCCTCCTCCTCCTCCTCCTGCTCTTCCTCCTCCTCCTCCTCCTCCTCCTCCTCCTCCTCCTCCTGGGAGGTTACCCACCCTCAAAACGCTAGGTCCCCGATGGACCTGAGAAGGCCAGCCAGCTCCGCACGGGGTGCAGCCCCAGAACCCACCAAAGCAACAAACCAACGCCCCAGAACCGGCGCCGCAAGCAACGGCTTGGCGGATTTCAGTTCACCCCGAGGGCAACGATGCGCCTCCTCCTCCTCCTTTTCCTCCTCCTCCTCCTCCAGCTCCCCCCCTCCTCCTCGTCGTCCTCCTCCTCCCTCCTTCTCCTCCCCCACCTCCTCCACCTCTTCCTCCTCCTCCCCTTTCTTCTCCTCCTCCTTCTCCTCCTCCTACTCTCCCCCTCCTCCTCCAGCTCTTCCTCTTCCTCCCACCCCGCCCCCCCTCCTCCTCCTCCTCCTCATCCCCTGCTCCTCCTCCTCCCTCTCCTCCTCCTCCTCCTCCTCCTCCTCCTCCTCCTCCTCCTCCTCCTCCTCCTCCTCCTCCTCCTCCTCCTCCTCCTCCTATCCTTATTCCTTATTAGAATATACTCCTACCCCCCCCCTCAGGCCGGCAGATAGGGGCCCCATCCGGGTGGTCCCATCCTAACCTGTAAAAAACAATACAAAATCAACATGTTTCTTATTTTTTCCCTCTCGACATGGACGTCCTGTCGTCCACGGCGATAATCAATTGCAAAAAATACAACAAAGAGCACACGCGCGCGTTCATGTCAGAATCCTACCGAACACCGTGTGTTTGCAAGCATTTCAACATAAAAACATCAAAAACCCAATGTTTTTTCACAAAAAAATTCTACACATTTCCTGCCCGGGCTCTCTTGCTGAAATCACAGGAAAACCATAGGAATCTTAAGAATTCGGTCAAATCCAGCGATTTCACGCCATCGCGCGGTGCACTCGCGATGCTCTGTCATGCACCCAGGCCGCGAATCCTGTGCAAAAAATACCATGCGGGCGACATGCGCGCGCGTCGCCGCGAGCGCATGCTCAAATCCTTCTAGAGTCGTCGCCGTCATTGGCACCGTCGCATGGACGTCCTGTCGTCCACGTTGCAAAATGCATGGCAGGAATGAGACCCGGCTTACCGGGCCGTTCTCGACACGGCCACCTCTGGCTTCCTGCGGTGTACCGGGCCATTCTCGATTCGTCTGGCAATGTGCGCGCGGCATTCAACAAGCGCTCGCCAGTTCCCGTCGGCAACCGCCATCGCGGCCGCATCAGCTGTACCAAACCGGCTGGCCGGTGTGACTTCGGCCCCCAGTTGTGCCAGCTTTGCTTCTTATGTTGTGGGAGGGCGGGTGGGACTGGGCATGCCATGCTTGACTCGCTCGAGCTGGCTAGCTTGACTCCTACTCCTACTCCTCTCCTACTCCTACTCCTACTCCTTTTCCTCCTCCTCCTCCTCCTCATCCTTCTCCTCCTCCTCCTCCTCCGCTTCCTCCTCCTCCTGCTCCTCCTCCTCCTCCTTCTCCTCATCCTCCGCGTCCTCCTCCTTCTCATCCTCCTCCTACTCATCCACCTCCCCTCCTTCTCATCCACCTTCTCATCCTTCTCATCCTCCTTCTCATCCACCTCCCCTCAGAGCGAGCGCGTCGCGGGCAGTC